TAACAGGGTGACTGCCTGCTAAAATAGAAGACTTAAATAGGCTCAAGACTCTCCTAACATCATATCCAAAATGTTCAGGATACAACTGAATATGATTTGTCATACCAAGGACCAGGAAAATCACAACCTGAATGAGAAAAGACAACCAACTGATGCCAATACCAGGATAAATTAGATGTTGGGCTATCTAACAAAGGTTTCAAAGTGGCTATTATAAAATTGCTTCAACAAGTAATTATAAATTCCCTTGAAACAAATAATAAAATAAAACTTGGAAAACTTCAGCAAAGAAACAGAAGTTATATTAAAGAAAAAAAAAAGAAATTATAGAAAAATACAATACACAAAATAGAAAACTCACTGGATGGGCTCAATAGTAGAGTGGAGATGACAGAAGTCAGAATCTGTGAACTTGAGGATAAATCAAATTTATTTAATTTGAATAACAGAGAGAAATAGAGAAAATAGACTGAAAAAAATAATGAACAGCGCCTCAGGGAGCTATGGGACAGTAACAAAGGATCTAACATTTGTATCATCAACATCCCAGACGGAAAGGAAAAAGATATGAGGCTGAATAAAATATTCAAAAGGTAATGGCTGAGAACTTCCCAAATCTGGTGAAAGACATAAACTTCAAGAAGCTGCCCAGATAGGGTAAACCCAAAGAAATCTGCATCAACATATAATATAATTAAACTTCTGAAAACTAAAGTTAAAGAAAAAAATCTTTAAAACTACAAGAGAGAAAGGATACATCCTTCAGGAATGAAGGGGAAATAAAAACATTCCCAGATGAAGGAAAACTAATAGAATTTGTCACTAGCACACCTATCCTTAAGGAATGGCTAAAGGAAGCTCTCCAAACAGAAAGGAAATGATAACAGAAGAAGGCTTGGAACTTCAGAAAGGAAAGAAAAACAACAGAATGGGTAAAATTAGGGGTAATGACTACCCTTCTCCTCATGAGTTTCTTAAATCACATTTGATAGTTTGAAGCAAAAATTGTAACAACATCAGTTGTGGTGTTAATTGTATTTTGAAGAATTACTAAGACCATTATATTTAAAAACTGAGGCAGGTAAACAGACCTGAATGGAGGTAAAGTTTTTAACAATTGACTCAAGAGTGTAAAACATCAATCCCAATATCAAAGGTAAAACACCGTTAGCAATGGTAAACATAAGTAAATTATATATGTATAGTGTAATACCTAGACCAACCACGAAGAAAAGTATACAAAGCAATATACTCAAAAATAGTTTAACTAAAACAGACAAAATCCTTAAAAAGTTCAAATAATCCATAGGAAAGCAAGAAAAGAGAAACAGAAGAATGATAAAGAAAAACAGAAAATAAAGTGTAAGACTTAAGCCCTAACATGTGAGTAATTCCTTAAATGTAAATGGTCTAAATACACCAATTAAAAGACAGACTGGCAAAGTAGATAAAAGACATGACTCAATTATATGCTGTCTACAAGAAATTCACTTCAAACACAGTGGAATAGGTAGGCTGAAAGTAAAAGGATAGAAAAGGTGTTAATGTTACATTCATTTTTTAAAAGCAGGTGTGTCTATATTAATATCAGATAAAGTAGACAACGAAGCAAATCAAATGACTAGGGACAAAGATATTATATAATGATAAAAGGTTCAATCCACCAAGAAGACATTTTTGTTGTTGCTAGCTGCTGTCGAGTCGATTCTGACTCATGGTGTCTCCACATGTGCAGAGTAGAATTGCTTCATAGGGTTTTCAAGGTTGTGACCCTTTGGAAGCAGATCACCAGGCTTGTCTCCCAAGGCAGGTTAACTACCAACCTTTTGGCTAGTAGTCGAGTGCTTAACTATTTGCACCACCCAGGGACTCCTCCAAGAAGACATAGCTAACCTAAGTGTATATGCACCAAACAACAGAGCTTCAAAATACATGAAACAAAACCTAATAGAGCTGAAAAAAGAAATAGATCCAAACTTATTATTGGAGACTTGAACACTCCACTCTCAGCAACTGACAGAACTACTAGATAGAAAACTAACAAAGATATCGAAGAAGTGAACAACACCATCAACAAACAGAATTTAATTGATATTTACAGAACATTCACCCAACAACAGGAGAAGACACATTCTTTTCAAGTGCCCATGGAACATTCACCAAGATAAACTATATCCTGGGTCATAAAACAAACCTCAGCAAATTTAAAAGAACTGAAATCATACAGAGTGTGTTCTCCAATCATAATGGAATCAAACTGAAAAATCCTATCAAAATCCTACCAAGGTTATTTTGTAGATAGAGACAAGCTTATTCTAAAGTATATGTGAAAAGGACAAGCCCTGAAATAATGAAAACTGACTTGAAAAAGAAGAATACAGTGGGAGCAATCATTCTACCCAATATTAAGTCTTAGCATATAGCTACAATAATCAATACAGTGTGGTATTTGCATAAGAATAGATCAATGGAATAGAGAACCCAGAAATTGGCCCACATTAATATGCCCACTGACTTTTGACAAAGGTGCAAAAACAGTTCCCTGGAGGAAAACAAATGATACTGACACAACTGGGTATCCATAGGCATTTAAAAAAGAAAAAGAGCTGTTCTGGTTCTTACTGCGGTGATGGATATACAAACCTACACAGGTGACATAATGGCATAGAATTAAATACAAACATACACACACAAATGGATACAAGGAAAACCAAGGAACTCTGAACAAATCAGTAGATTGTATCAATGTCAATATCCTGATTGTCATATTGTACTACAGTTTTATAAGATGTTACTATTGGAGAAAATAAGTAAAGAGTTCACAGGAATTCTGTATTCTTTTCTACAATTTCATGTGAATCTACAATTATCTCAAAATAAAAAACAATATAAAAAAGTTATTAAATTTCTAAGGGGATAGGCTTCCTACAAAAGACATCTCTGAGCTAACAAATAATTCAGGTTTTTTTTTCCATTTTTTCCTAATCTATCCACATGACCCAAGGTGTATAGACAAAAAAGAAAAAGAAAAAAGTAAATGGTACTAATATCCCAAGGCCCCACTATCACACCTTTGGCTGTGGGTACAAGATTCTCAAATGTCTAGACATGTTTACCCCAAGCTGTATGTGGTTGCTTTTAAGGAAATGGTCATGGCCTTTCCTGTAGTGTGGCTTAGCTATACGACTCAACAACCTCTCTTCTCCAGGAAACACAGAAAGATAGGGTGGGATGTAAAGACTTCAACTGTGTAAATGGATGTAATAATTTCTGGTTCCTCTACCCCAAAGCAGTTACAATTAAGTAGCATGGGTCTTACCTCTTTGCCTTTGTTCCTTCTAAACATCCTGGCAGAAAAGATATCTAACCATTATTTGTTCAATTACTTTATTCAACTTTGGGATACAAGTTTAATAAATTAAAGCATTCTTCTAACTGGGTCCCCTTGTCCAGTGAATACAAAGATATCTTTTGATTCATGATGTGTTCATTACTAAAATATAAAACAATAGTCTAGGGAGAAAAATTGCTAACTCAGGTTGAAACTTGCCTCACCATTTTTATCCCAACCATGATTAGAAAATCACAAACAGCACTTTAAGAAATACCTTCTATAATATCAAAAGCCAGAGGGCTCTCCATGATCCTTTGCTCCTAAGGCAAACAGGCAGAAGGAGGTACACCTATAGTGGAAAGACTGTAGCCTTTCTTTACTCGGTTAGTTCCCTGTTTGTCTGTATGCGTGTTCCAGCACAATTTAGGATATTTTAATTTTGGGTGGTATACTAGAGGAAGGAGCCCTGGTGGCACAATGGTTAAGTGCTCGGCTGATAACTAAAGGGTTGGTGGTTCAAACCCACCCAGCACCTCTGCGGGAGAAAGACCTGGCGATCTGCTTCCATAAACATTACAGGCAAGAAAACCCTATAGGGCAGTTCTACTCTGCCACTATGAGTCAGAATCGACTCAATGCCACCCAACAACAACATACTGTTTTTTAGAAACTGAAAACAATATTAAAGTCGTTAGTAATTACAACACAATCACTACTACAACATAACAGTACTTCAAGTTTCTTCAAAAACATCTACTGTTACCTCACTACTCATTTGATCTCTATTTGCCACTATCTTGCTGTTTGAGTAAAGCATTGTGGTGCCATATTTTCTTACATATTCATAAGACAAAGTTCTCAGCTGCACCAGTAAACACATGACTATTATCTGACATTACTTTATTCCTCTTAACTTGGAGTAGTGTCAAGATTGGCCCTGCTCTACACCAGTTCTTGTAACTAGTTCAGCCCAGCACTCCATCACAGCAGAATCTCAGTTGAAGTAAAAATAAATGTCATGAATTGTTCCAACTTTTACTGCATACTTTGAAGTTTGTGTGTGTACACATGCAACAGATACATACAACACACACATAATACACACACATACATGACAACTTCCCTGCAATCAAGAAGCTTGTAATACCTTAAAAAATGAAACTTGTGTGAAATGACTATTATTTACCCTGGAATGATATAAAAATGTACCTTAAGGTAATAAAGAAAGACCTCATCTAATTGAGAATTGTTGCATTTAACATTTTAAGTATGAAATAAGTGTTTAACTGTTTTTGATCAGCTTGGATTGCTTTGGACATTTATTCATACATTAATACTTGCAAGGCATAAAATACCTATAAAGGGAATATACACACATACATACAACATACACACATTTATACATACAACTATGATATACTTTAGAATGATATAAAAATGTGCCTTAACGTAATAAAGAAGAAAGATCTCATCTAGTCAAGAAAGCATGAAGAAGAAACTCAAAAAGCCTAAAAAAGTATATGAAATTTGAGGAAGTGATACGACTTTGCCAAGTAGAAATTGTCCTTCTGAATTCTCCAAGACTGTGATCTCTTAGAAGTAGCAATTTAAATGGGAGATTAACAACGCTCTTAGAAAGTAATCTTTCATTATTCTTTACTTCTAGGTTCCGACTCATTGGTCACTCCTCTAATACATGCATCATCTCGGGCAAGACTATCACCTGGGAGAAGGAGGCACCTATTTGTGAGCGTGAGTTGAAATCTTCCTTCCAATTACCTTTACCAATAGATCCTATTTCCCCCTGGAATTACAAAAATCTTAATCAAATTCCTTTTCTGCATTTCTTCCTTCAGATAGCTGAAGACAGCTGTAATGTTCTCAAATATACCTATGGTGTTTCAGAAAGTTGTTTCCTTAAGTTATTTCTTATCCTGGGACGTAGCTTCTCTGGATCTGGAAACTTAATTCATAAAATCCTCCAAACCTCATTCTCATTTCAATTGACATGCAACTGTGTTGGTTCTACCATCCCCAGTACAATTATTATTCTGCTTGACAACTTAGTAAAGATTTTCAGAAGTGATACTATCTATCCTTAGTGAAGGCGCAGAGGAATCAGCACCCTCATGAACCGCTGGTCAAAGTGAAGTATACAACAGACCCTCCTGGAAGGCACTGTGGCCTATAAGCCTCAAAAAATGGGCAGACTTTTTGAGCCACATCTTGGAATTTATACTTTGGAAATAAACACAGATTTTTGCAAGGAGTTCACTATAAAGTTTTCATTGTATCATTCTTTTAATAGTAAAAAGTTTAAAGTAGTCTAAAGGTATTACATGTTTCAAACTATGGTTTGGAAATAATCCACTAGAAGGAATGAGACATGTTAAAAATGATCGTAAAGAATTTCCTACAAAAACATAAAATAGCCATGCAGACTTAGAAGTATATCTTTACACTGGAATGTTATTCGGCCATAAAAAAAAAAAAAAAAAAGATAGTAGAGAAGCACTTAATAATGTGTAAGGATATTTATTCCATATATTTTATGTGAAAAAATGAGATGACAAAACAGCATATTTGGCAAAATCTCATTAAGCTGTAGAAAACATCTATAATTATATCTATATTTTGACCTCTATTACTAGTTCTGTAACCTTTTCATACCCAAACACTGATAAATGGTTACAAGTCCCTTTAGGGAAGTCTATGTTACAGCGTTCTTCCTCACAAAGATCTGATTTCCCGTTCGCTCAAGGAGCTATGAGTCTGTTCAAATCTGAGGACTGGTTGATTGACCATGATGGTTTTTTACAGGAATTCAAGTCAGACTTCTTTACTAGACCTACGTCTTTTCTTCAGACCTAGGCCTTGATTTATTTTCAAATAAATTAAGCAAAACTTTAGTCAGCTACTCGTCTTCTTCAGTTTTAGAGACTCCCTAATCAATTAGCCAACGTCAAAGATCTCTGCAGTCAAACCATTCTGATTGTCACCTCAGCTCTGCTATCCATTATGATAATTCATCTTGTCTCTGGTGATTAAGCGCTCCCACTTGTCCCCTACCACCCTGAGATCACATCATCCTCATTGAATTCAGGGGGTCCACTTCAATGGCAGCAACTCCCAGGGCCATCCATGGCCTACAGAGAAGAGCCATCACAGAATCCTCAAGGATGACAAAACTCCCTTCTTGAATGTATTCCTCAGAGCCCTGGGTGAAGGTTCTATCTTCAAACACCCTGCCAGTGGACATAGTCAGGAAGTGGGTGAGCAGGCCTTCCATGATAAATCTACTCTAGCATTCCAACCTCCCTAAGTTACAGTATTTCTTCCTCTGCAGTACACTAAGGAAGTTCTGGCATTTCAACCTCATTCCCTGTAGGCCACCTTCATATGCAGGTTTCAGTCAACCAACTAAGCATACTGTTTGAGCCTCTCCGATTAGCTCAAGCTAACACATTGAATCCAGAATCTCAGTCCTTTTGGTGTGTCTTTCATATCCTCACAGGCATAATTTTTACCCCATCCCACCCCACCCCAGGGCCTGCCAGGACTTGAGTCTAGTTAAAAGACTTTAGAGATGGTGAGGGTAGATCCTGAGTTATTGGTCCTAATTTATCCCAGAGTAACAAATACCTGCAAGTAGTGTTGTAAGATTTAGCAAATAAATATACAGGATGCCTAGTTAAATTTGAAGTTCGGATAAGCAACAAGTAATTTTTTTAGTGTAAATATCTGCCATGCAATATTTGGGACACACTTATACTAAGACATTTTCTATTGTTTATCTGATATTCAAATTTAACTGGGCATCCTGTATTTTCTCTAACAACCCTTTCAGGGCAACTACTTCAGGGGAGGGCATTATAGTCTCTTCAGGCAAGTGGAGGCTTATCTCCACAGACAGGAAAAGAAGGGCTGTTTATCTGTTAGTACAGGAGGTTCAGCAGAATTTCAGGGTTGAAGGCATCCTGCTTCATTAGAATCTGTCCATATGTCTCCATTCCTATTGTCAGGGTCCCACTTCTTCACAATCAATGTCCAAACTTTAACATAAGAGATCCTTTGAGGTTGTGAATCCAATTTGCATTGGATTTGTTTTTAAGAAATCTTGGCCCTGTGGCTACAGGATGTGTTTATTTTAGGACCGATATAGAAGGTTTCAGATCCAGATATTAAACAGGAATTTAAAATCCTGAATTCACCTTTTTTTTCTCTCTAAATTCTCCAGTATACTTTGAAGGAAGGGACCAGCCCATTATACACCTTCCTAAAATGTTCTATGGCAGTAACTATTTTGTCACTATTGATTACAGGTGTCTTGCTTCTATTGATTACAGGTACCTACAGGTGAGAATTTGGGTAACTCTTTTGTCATTGTATGCACTATTTGTGTGCCCTTGCTCACTGGAAGCATTAACAAGAATGCCCTTAATCTAATCACATTACAGAACCAATCCCAAATTCCCATCTTTAAGGTTCTGTTACCCTGGAATAAATTTTGGTCCAATCAAGGAAACAGAAATACTATCAATATTATGAAATAAAAGATTTATTATAAGAATTAGATCTTACCCAATTATCGGAGGAGCTGGTCTAAAAAGATCAGAGAAAAGTCACTAAATAGCCCACCTTGGCACAGGCAGGAATGAGTCTGAGCTTTCAGGAAACTAGGCACATGTGACTACTGGAGAAGAACTGTGAAGAGGGCTAGTTGTAGATATTAATAAGCTTGAACATGCATTAATGACAAAAATACTTAGCAATTCAGGATATAAGAAAATTTCCCTAATCTGAAAACAGTGAAGAAGGTTATTGGCTCTTGGTGGATACTACTTCCGTGAGTTCACAGTGAAGCATCTGGGGGTGGGCTGGGATCACCGTTGCTGAGCAGAACCAGCAGTTAAGAAGGATAGCGGGATACAGAGAGAAAGAAAGTAAGGACAAACTGGAACTGGCAGCATCTCTGTGTCTGTCCCTTGTCACCTCTAACAATGACAACCTTCAGAATGGAATGGCTGCTGTTTTAACTTCTGCCTCTCAAATCTCATACTAATTTCTCTTGTTCCAACTCTTAACCCAGAACTATACAGGGAAGTAAGTCTGGGAAACTTAGTTTCAACTTAACCAGGTTGACAGTATACAAAACCACCGCACAATTATAACTTTTTTTCCCTTGCTTTATTACACTGGCTAGGACCAACAGTATAACGCCAAACAGTGGTGGGGGTAGAACTGGTGGGGGTTCTCCATCTCAAAGTGGAAAATTGAAATAGTTCACCATTAAGTCTAGCGTTTGCTGTAGGCTTTCCTGTCCCTGCGCCCCACCCCCCCGCCCCCCCAGATTAGGGAAGTTTTCTTATATCCTGAATTGCTAAGTATTTTTATCATTAACGCATGTTGAAATTTATAAAGCACTTTGGCTACATATATTGAAATGATCATATCTGTTTCTCCATTTTTTTTAATGTAGTAAATTACTTTGATTTTTAAAAGGCAAACTGGCTTTGAATTACAATTTTACGTTCTTGGAATAAATCAATTTAGCATGCTATGCTAAATTTTCTTCACAGCAACATGTAAAAAAAAGAAAATTTGGCAGAGTAGCGCCTATGAAAATACCTCTTGGTGGGAGGACGCTGCCAGCAAACAAACCCAGAAGGTGTGCATTATTTGTGTAAAAGTACACTATTTTATCTGATGTCAGTAAAGCCACCCCTGCTCTTTTTTGTTTACTGGTTGCATGGAATATTTTTCTCCATCCTTTTATTTTCAGTCTGTTTGTGCCCTTATGTCTAACGTGTATTTCTTGTAGATAGCAAAAGGATGGATCGTGTGTTTTTACCCATTCTACCACTCTCTACTTTTTACGTGGGGTGTTTAGGCCTATGTTTAAGGTTATTACTGAAAACAAAGTGTATACCTCATTCATTTTGCTTTTTTTTTTTTACTCTTTTCATATCTTCTTTGTTCTTTTATTCTAATTTTTCTATTTTTGTTTGTATTTAGATGCTTTCTTTTGATGAGCCATTTTGCTATCTTCCTTCTTTTCTTCTGATGTTTTCTTCTTAGTGATTTCTTAGTGGTTCCCACATATATTACATTACACAACTTACGGTTGCAACAATGTTTAACATACGAACAACAGTTAACATATAACCTGAACAGAATAAATCTATTCTTGATATGCTCCTCCCTCCCCCATTTCTGATGGCATGTCTCCATTAACATCAATATACAACATATATTCGATAAGTTTACTTTGTACTTATTTCTTACAAATTTGATGTTGTACTGTTTGCGGGGCTTAATTATTGAGTTTATTCCCTGAAAATATCATAGGCTTGGTCCTTATGATTGCCTGTGTTGTTGTGCTTTTTGGAGATCTCGCTCTCTTATTTTTTGTTTATTGTTTTCCTGTGTATAGATATGAGTATTTATTTAATGCTCTTGCCTTTCTATTTGGAGTACTCTTGAGTAATACTTGCAGAACTGGTCTGGTAGTGGCAAATTCCCAGAGCTTCTGTTTGTTTGGGAATATCTTGATTACCCCCTTGTTTTTGAAAGACAACTTTGCGAGCTAAAGAATTCTTGGTTGGCAGTTGCTTTAGTCCAGTATTTTAGATATGTCACCCCATTGTCTTCTGGTCTCTAGAGTTTCTGGGGAGAAATCCACACTAATTCTTATGAAAGCCCTTTGGTATGTTATATTGCGTTTTTCTCTTGCTGCTTTCAGAATTCTCTCC